TGCCTGACTAAGAAAAACCTTCAAAAAATACCAAGGTAATTGAAAAGTATGAGTTATGATATACACATTGTGTTCATTGTTAGGAATTGTCTAGAATTCTGCTGAAAATGACTGAAAGCAAAATTGTGTGGCCATCCATGCTATCCATCTGAGAGAAATTCTTGTAGAAAATGCCCCCTCATTGAGCATGGCCAATATTGTAAGTTGCAAAATACAAGTATTATGCATATTGAGTATGAAAGCTTAATACATTTGCTTAGGAACATAGTTCACAAAATGCACAAATGGTGTGTATAGAATCAGCTTGTTCAGATAAGACCAGGAAAGCTGAATCAGCTTCATTCTAAACCATCAACATCTATGACCTTGGAACAAATCAATAGAATCTATTCAACTTGTCTTTGGGAAATAGAGTTAATTCAACTTCTAACTCAAGAGAATTAATATCTATTGATTCCTCACAATGTGCCTGAAATAGAATGAGTGGTTAACTTTCTTGTCCTCCAGTAGCCCACTGGCTAGACTAGAGACCAGTTTGTACATACTGAACAATAATCCAAAGTTGGGCTATGACCATTGCACAAAGCATTAAAGGGAAAGAAATAGATGATGACTGAAGGGTAAAGGAAGCTGGGGAAGAAGAGGGCTTCATAAAAGAAGTGAAATTTAAGTTAGATAATTAAGGAATAATGCCCTTTTCCTTTCTTCTTAAAAATTGCTGAAGAGTCTTGTAAAATCACATATCTTTTCTTTCTAACTGATCAACTACTTCAATTTTCTAGCATTTGAACTCAGTTTATTGGTAGAGATTAATGAGCTAAATTGACATTTTAAATGTAACCATCCTGTCTTGCATATATTTGTAAAGACTAAAGTTGGAAGTAGACGTTCTCATTTGTCAAATGGAGAGCTGTAATAAAAAATGTAATTAGATGGAAAATTAGAAGAAAATTGGCACTTCTGTTTCTTTCAGTCTCTAGAAAAATCTCACTATTTTGCCTGGAAATTTTTGTTTTAAAATCAAAGCAAATTAACTGAAAACCAAAAAAGCTAACATATTATAGATTCCTTAAAGGATTATAAGTTTGTATATGGAAGGATCATTAGACTGATTCTGTTTGGCTTCACATTGCAGAATAGGACCGATGATTTGTTGCCTAGGTTTTGGCTCGATAAACACAAACTTCTAAAAATAAAAGTGACTCAAAATTCAAATAGAATGACTTGGGAAGTAATAAACTATCAGTTTTCATAAGAAGGATGGTCACCACCATTCCAAGTTAAGCTCAGAGTTGTTATAGTCAAACATAAATTTCCTCAAGAAGTATTTTGGATTGACTCAGATGGTCAAAGCAAGCGGCAAGAGAAGCAAGTGGGTTCTGCACTGTTGAGTAGGAGTGAGATGACTTTGGATCAAACATTAAAAATAAAACGAGAAGCTAAGAGGGAAAAAGAACAGCAAATACAAATTCTCCCTTTCTGAACCATTTGGGAACATTCTTTGTACTCATGATATATAACTAAAACAGGTTGAAAAGAAAACTGATGAATCTTCTTTTCTTTTCATTATGAATTAAGAACCATCTGTACAGCCAAAAGGCTTAAACAATACAAAATGTTCTATTATGGACTAGATGAAATGAGATATATAAAGACTTAGGCGTGTAAGCAGAGTTCTTTGTCAAATAAATATAAAGATACATTTTAAATGTGCATTTTAAAACATTAAGGCTAAGTATGGATTAACCTCTTCAGTGCTTTAATTATAATTTTGCTTGACATCCCAAGACTAACTGCAACTCAACACAGAGAAAAGCAGAGAAGCTGAACTTTAATTCCAGCCAGATAATTCTGAATATCATTTTTCAAGCCAAGGAAAATGCAATGCTGAGTTGGATTTTTCTACTAATAGGAATTGATTTGATATTAACTGAAACTGGATGACTCCTAAGTTTCATTCTATCAACCAAAAGAAAAAATATGACTATAATTTCTAATATACTTTCCCAGTAAAGAGACCTTGTAACATTGGGAATGTTATTTTCTGGCATGTCTGGTGACCTTAGGGTTAGACTCCTACATTTCATCATAGGGCTTTGATAGCATTTGTTGGGCTATACTCTCTCCTCTCTCTCTCTCTCTCTCTCTCTCTCTCTCTCTCTCTCTCTGTTTCAGTAACAATAGAATTGGTAACAGAAGCATAAGAGGCTTTATGAACATGGACATATTTCAGTTGGTTTAATATTTATTTGGTTGTTAGGGATACCTGAAGTTCCTGGTACCTTTGCCAAAATGACTCTCTTCTGCCCCTCACACTGCTAACTTCTGTCCTTACATCATATTTACTTGGCAGGGGCCATCAGCACAATTTTCCTAAGATTTCACTCTCTCTACTTAACAATCTCCTTTCAGAGAGAAATATATCTTCGTCTTGACATGACTCCAGGTGGTAATCATTTTCATACTTGTATCTGCACTACTAAGAATCCTAGTTGGCTTTAGAATGGAGTTGTCTTCTATTTTCTTGCTTAGTGTAGTGCCTACAGACAGCTGTTCCTCAATGAATATGTTGATTGTCAGGAGACATGATGTAAGTTTGGTAGAAATTTGGCAAAGAATTGTTTTTTCAAACTGACCTTATTTCTGTTTCTTTTCTATTTTTTGTGTCAATCACCACATAGGTCAGAGATGTCATAGACATAATAATTTGATTTTAATAAACTGTCATGTGATAACCTTGAATAAAAATCAGAGAAACTTAAGCTCAGTGATCGTATGGTTAAGTAGATTGACAGCTGGTTGAACAGTTAGACTCTCAGTCCCTTGATCACTGGCTCAAAGGAGGACTATTTTTGTGAGGAGAATTAAGGAATGCCATTCTGAAACTTCTCTGTCTGAGTTACGTAAGTCAGAACAGCATTCTAGAAGCTTGTTTCATCATTAAAAAGCACACAAAAATATATTATTAAAATAGAAAAATTAAATAATCTTTTTAAACAGACTTTTATATCTTCATTACCTTATGTGAAATAAAAGGAATCATTTTATAAGATTCTTTCTTAAAAAGTCAGTGTGAAATTTCTCACTCTTGAGTCACATGTTGGCCAGTCTATTTCACAGATACTACTGAGAAAATAATTGAAGAGACGACCGCAGCAGTGAAATTTTAAATTCAGTATTTATTAATTTGGGACATTATAATATTCTTAATGGTAACCTAGGCTCAACTCACAGGTCTTGTTATATAGTGAAGTGGCTACTGAAAAAGGGGTCCAATCAGAAAAAACTAATTTACATTTTTCTTTCAATGTGGCCCTTTCCTTTCATTGTCTTATTCTTCTTAGTCATAAAATATTATTCTTATTCTTATTGTCTTATTCTGTCTTATTCTTCTTCTTATTCTTCTTAGTCAATTGTCTTGACTTAGACAAGTCAAACTATGCTATAGAAAAACATAGCTATATGAATACTGATGAGGAAAGTAATTATCTCTGGGGAAGGTGATAACAGGGAAGGCAGAAAAGATGGTGCTACGCAGTGCTGAGAATGTCCTGAACTTTGGTTTGGGTAAATGAGTTCATATATATATATATATATATATATATATATATATGGAAAACATTAATTGAGTAGTTTATTTGTGCACTTTATTGCATTTGTCATTTTTAAATGGAAGAATTGTGTGATGAAAGGCATTAGGCAGAAATAAGCGCATAAGCAGACATTAGATACCTTTGATTATAATAGATGGAGCTATATGGAAGGTAAGAGGAAGAAAGAGTTGAGAATGCTGTCTTTTCCTAAGTTCTTAAAGCCTTAAATGCCACGATGAAAAAACAAAACTTTGTTCCTTAGGTCTGAGGCAACGGTTGGGGATTCTACTGGTTTTTTGTTTTGTTTTGTTCTGTTTTTTTTTTTTTTTTTCTGAGACAGAGTCTCACTGTGTTGTCCAGGCTGGAGTGCAGTGGCACGATCTCAGTCTCTCCCTCCCTGGTTCAAACAATTCTACTGCCTCAGCATTTCAAGTAGCTGAGATTACAGGCACATACCACCACACTTGGCCAATTTTTACATTTTTGGCAGAGATGGGGTTTCACCACATTAGTCGGATTGGTCTCAAACTCCTGACCTCTAGCGATTCACTCACCTTGGCCTCTCAAAGTTCTGGGATTACAGGGGTGAGCCAGGGGATCTACTCTTTGAGCACTTAATCTTGAAATTCACTGGGGCGAACTAATGACTATGGGAGCTGGTTGGGGATCCTCTGGAAAGCATACTATGACTCCCGTGGAAGAGCACACACTAACAGGTCAGGATTTCTGGGTGGAAGGTCAGAATCATTCACCTTCATTCCATTCTAGACAAAAATGGAACAAAAAGTATGCTTTAAGAGGCTTAATGATCTTTGGTTTGAAAATGAACTATGTCGAAGAATCAGAGGCCTGGAAAACAGGAAGGACAATATGAAGAGGTAACTTCTGAGAAAGTTCTCTGTAATATGGCAGAGTAAATCCAGGGGCATCTGCAAGAATGGCCTTTCTGCATAGGATAGCTTCCTCACATCCTCTTCTATGAGCCCATGTATTTGTTTCTCTAGGACAGGACTAACACTTAGTAGGTATTTAATAAAAGTTTTTTGAATGAATGAAGAATGGATTATCCCCTTCAAAATAATAACATTTTTGCAAAGGAATTATTTTTGTTTTTTACAGAACAGATTGATAAAAAATTGTGTTCACTCTTAGTTAATATACTGTATTTCTTTCTTCAGTTAAATATGCCTTCCATGATAGATGTAATGATTTATTAGTGAGTGTGTGTGAATGTGTGTATCTAAGAAATACTTCATTAAATGTATACATAGCCATAAGCTGCATTCCAAGTGCTAAAATACTAAAAATAGAAAAATAATGCTTATAAGATGAGGAAATAAACATGCATAAGTCCCCTTCTCCCATCTTTTCCTGAAGATTTACATAAAACATTTATGACACACTCACCTTTCTATAGCTCATATTTCCAACAGCTTCCAGAACCAGCTGTTATTCCGGCAAACTTTATGGGCACATCCAGTAGATTAAAATCTGAGGGAAGAAAAGTCACCACATACTTGCTCTGTACAATTTACAGAAAATACAATGTAGTCCCAGATCTTACACCTTAAAAAAAACAACTAAAATTGGGAAAGAAAGAAAAGCTTGGAAGTCCCCTCCTCTAAGATTTCACTCTTGGCAAGATAATTTCATGATTATTTTCATTTGCTTGAATGCTGTGTTTTGCTGCACATGCACTTCCAGTAAAACCTCTCAAAATATAAACAGTCAGTGTTGACTTCACCTTACTTGTCCGTATACAGAGTTCTCACTGTGATTTTATCCTTCTCTGTTTACACTGGAGGCTTGTCTATTGTTTATTCACCTAGCTTATTAAGGGCCATAGGTATTTATTCTGAGCATTAATAATTATATTGACTACTAATAATATAATCATTTAATTGTCTTAGTCTTTTGTGCTGCTCTAACAGAATATATGAAACTGGATAATTTACAAGGAACAGAAATTTACTTCTCACAGGCTGGAAATTTCAAGATCAAGATGCTGGCATCTGGCGAGGTCTCCTTGCTGTATACTCATATAACAGAAAGCGGAAGCGTAAAAAGGGACAAACTCTGTGTCCTCACGTGGCAGAAGAGGAGAAGAGAGTGAACCTACCCCCTAAGATTTTTTTTTTCTTTTTAATAGCAGCATTAATCCACTCATGAGAGCTCCACCTACACAACACACTTCGCCAAAGGCCCCATTGCATTAGGGATTAGGTTTTCAACATGTAAATTCTGGAGGACACAGTCGTACTATGAAAATAATTACTATATATATATATATATATTTAATTATAATATATAAACAGTTTTATAATTTTTAAAGAACCTTCAAACATTATTGTTTAATGTGGACAGGACAGCTCTTATTAATTTTATTTTAAAGGTGATTAAATTGAGGCATGCACTGAATAAACACATTCCCAAGGTCACACAGCTACTGAATGCCAGCTGAGGAACGAGAACTGAGGTACAGAAAAGCTTTGACAAGTGCTTGGGCAAATCTTCCTACTGCTTCTTATGGTTTTATCTATTCCTTTCTTTCTTTTTTTTTTTTTTTTCCCAAATAATCAACATGGTAATTTTCACTAGGCCATTTTTTACCCTCTATTTAGATTTCATTTAATGCTTTCTTCCTTTCTTTACACTTGATTTTTAAAGGAATCATATAATTATTTAAGACAAATGTCATGGTAGTGCATGCCTATAGTCACAGCTACTTGGAAGGCTGAGGTGGTAGAATCCCTTGAACCCAAGAGGTGGAGGTTGCAGTGAGCTGAGATCGCACCATTGAACTCCTGGCTGGGTGACAGAGTGAAACCCTGTCTCAAAACAACAACAACAATAAATGAACAAACAAAAAAGAAAACACAAATGTATCTGACTGCTCCCTTTATTTTTTTTAGAGATAGTATCTGGCAGTAATGCAGTGGCATGATCATAGTTCACTGTAACCTGTAACTCCTGGGCTGAAGTGAGCCTCCTCCCTCACCCTCCTGAGTAGCTAGCACTACAAGTGCACACTACCACACCCAGTAATTTTTTTATTTTTTATTTTGTAGAGATGGGGTCTTGCTATGTTGTCCAGTCTGGTCTTGAACTCCTGACCTCAAGTGATTCTCCCTCCTTGGTCTTCCAAAGCACTGGGATTTCAGGTGTGACCCACTATGCCCGGCCTAAACTGTCCTCTATAATGATGATTATCTCATAACATAGCATAAATTTCAGCAAACAATTCTGTTCCTTCCCTCTGTCTTTGCCTTCCCCTCTCCTTCTGGCATCCCACTTGCATTTTTTCTCTCCAGTAGCTCCCAACTGCTTTAAGAAATATGGTATAAAAAATGCGACAATGGTGCCTCCATTTCCCTACTGTCATTTAATTTCTGTCACTTATGTATGAGCACTTGGATGCCATTCTCCAAATTACCCTTCAATTTCTTTTCACATATTCTTTGTTTACAATGCAGCTCATAATTTGTTGCTCACAGGGGCATTCTGGATAATGCCAGCCAACAACGAGGCCATGCTTGCCTGAGTGCAGAAGCCACGGATTTGCTCTTTGGGCTCTCACTGTTCTCCCACAGTGATCTGAACCCGTTTTGCTTGTATCGTTTTCTATGGTGCACAGTATCATCCAGTTGCACAAGTCTCAGAGATATGGTTAATAACTCTGTACTCTCCCTTCATATCCAAGCCCTTACTAATTCCAGTCACTTTTTCCTCCTAAATATCTCTTGAATCAGACCGCATTTCTTTATCAACACAACAGCACCATTATTCACATGATCATCTTCTCTGCTAAGATGTTTGCAGTGGCTATCTAACCCATTTCATTATTTCCACTTGCTCACTGCCTCCAATGATCACGTTTCTCTGAATTTCCTCCTTAAAACTAGTTCAATATTTATATTTGCTTCTGAGATAAAGATCCCTAATTTATCTTGTCCCACCCGTGGTTTGGGCCAGTCAGGCCTGTCTGAAACCACTTCCCCTCCCCCATCTCCTGTTTTGCTCCTCGTAGTCCAGTCTCACTAATTTCTTTGAGTTATTCAAACAGGCCTGCTTCTTTCCTCTCCATATGCTGCTTCCTCTGCCACCCAGGTAGCTCTGGCTCTTCCTTCTGATCTCAGTTCAAACACCACTCTTTCATGTGAATCGTCTCTGACTTCTCTGAGATGTCAGTTTCTGCCTCCACCCAGCTAGTAGCATGCACTTTGGGGGATGGGGGCAGGGACTGATAATTTCAAAAGTAAACGTACCACAGTAGTGAGTGGCCCATGCACTTTGGGCACTCACTGCTAGTAGGTTTACTCTTATTTGGCTAATGATTGGATCAGGTGCTAAAAGGAGACAGTGGACAGTGGGTCTGTAACTCATTCTTTAGTACTTGAGAATACCTGAAGTGTTTTTCTTTTAACCCCAAACTCCTTCTAAATATTGACTGTTGAAATGTATTAGCTCCCAATGACTGACCGACGAATGCTTGTGGCAGAATGTACCTGATCTTTCTGGCCTGATTGTTGTAGGTATATCTGTAATTTATAGATTTAAACTACAGCTGTGCTGATGAATGCAAGTTAATGACCTGGCTAGAGCTACACTGTGTGACGCTGATGCATAAACAGAAAGACCACAGCACTCACAGGCTCCTCTATGCTAACTCTAGCCATGCAGAGTGAGCACCCCCCAATCCAGAATGAAATCACATCACAGTGCCAGAAACAGGAGGTTCCTTTTGATGGACTGAGGTATGCTTGATAGTGCTGTGGCATATACCATTAATGCTCCTTTCTTATTACCTTTGCTAACGACCTGTAAAGCTTGATGCTGGGTAATATTTGCGTTTCATATGACTCTGAAAACTTGGGCTTTTGTTGTTATGTAGGTGAAAGAGCTCTATTTCCTTTTTGTTTTGTCTGACAGTTATTTTCCTGTTTACTGGCCCAGTATTTAACACATAGTGCATAATAAATATTTGTGCGATAGAGATCACTAGAGCTAATCATGTCTAATTCTTTTCTTCTGCATACATAGCAAAACTATCAAGCACCTCGTGCAATTAAGTTGGAGCCTTGCCATTAATTTTAACAGTGGATTTTGAGAGAAAGTAACATCTATAACTTCCAGGTAAAGGCAGTTAAGATCAGATGTAAATTATCCACGTTATTTTTCAATTTTTTAAGAAAATACTGAAACTTTATGTTAAGATGGTTGCATGGAAAGATGGCAGAGCTTCTGTCATTTCTGGATTCCTGACTAACGTGTAGAACGCAACGTTCCTCCTATCCATGTTGGGCACATTGCATGAGTCAGAAAGACCAACTGATTTAGTGAAGGTTCTGATCTTGTTGAGGTTAAATTGTTACCTAAGTATAACATATTCTGTGTTGCCTAATACACGAATGAGCGTTAGGAAGGCAAGAGTATCTATAAACACCTTCAGAGCACACTTGCCTTCTCTTCCCTTGATTCTTCTTTTTTCTTTCTTCCTTCTCAAAATAAAAATTAGTAAATAGGGTATGAGAGAGAGAGACAGCATGGTGTCAAGTCGCATTGCAGGAACAACAAACCTGCCTTAAATTGAAGTGACCAAATGAATTCAACTGGTGTCATAATTTATTGAGCAGAGCATCTTATGTCCCAGGCCCTCTGTAAGGAATTTGAGATTCAATCATGAAGAATGCCTGTTTTCTGCTCTCTAAGTGCTCATATATTCAACTAAGAGTACTAGAAAAATGACTAGGATATAAGAAACAGATAATACAGAAAGGAGCATTAGTGATGATATGTTGAAGGGGATTAGAAAATGACTTCACAGATTGGGTGACATTCAAAGTAGATCTTTGAGAAGCTGAAGAATTTCACCAAATGCAGGAGAGCGGGTCTATTGTGGACAGTTTCCCATGCCATAAATATTCATGGTGTGTTTGGACAGAAACTTTAGTACTTGTGAATTGGTGGCTGGGGTAAAATTGGGAAGAGAGTATAAAAGGACACTTCCCATTTCCCTTTCCCCACCTTCAATTCTCGCTGTTATGTTTTTCTTTTTAGCTTCAGACAAAACGACAGTGCTTTTAAATGGTTTCCATAATTTATCTCAATTGGTTTTTGCATGAAAATGATAAGCAGGATAACCACCTTTATCAAATGATAAAGGGAAAAAGAATTTTGAGATAACCAACCAATTCTACCACCTGTTTTATACCCAGAGGGTTCTCTTCTTTTCTGACTTTTAGTTCAGTGATCCACAGATGGACTCCACACCTCTCCACTCTCAGCTGTGCTCACTGTATATATCTAGCTAGCCTCTGTCATCTTGCGTTTTTAAGCTCCCTTCTCTACTCACATTTCAGTTATTTTGCTGCTGATGTTTTTCTTTCATTGTAGTTCTTTATTATAAATTATCTCTGAGATCACAGCTGAATGGAGGTAGATCAAGGTCACTTGCCTAATAGTAGGTTCATAATGGAGAACCTATAGTTGGTGGGACCATTCCCAGTGGTTCTAGTCACTGTGGGTTCTTTCCGGTTCCTAGGTAAACTGGATTGTGCCCAGGAACTCAGTCTGCGGGGCTGGTGCTGAGATAAAGGACTGCCTCCGAGTTCACAGTCAGAACGCCTGTCACCAGGTACATTGATGTATTATGTGCTGATGAGTG